GCTGGGCAACCTCCTGGGGAGGCGGGCTGCCGTCACACGTGGAGATGAACTGTTCCAGGTCCTCCTGACTAATGTACATACCGCCATCGTGGCTGGCACACAGGGCAAAAATGACTAAAGGAAAAAGCAGACAAAACACACCATCATCATCATCATCATCATCATCATCATCATAATAATACAGATTTATATAGCGCACTTATCCGAAAAACCAATCAAGGGGCAACTCCATTATTATTACCCCTGCTCACTGGGCCCATGAAACATTCCAAATACCATCTCAGCTCCCTGGGGAGTATACAGCTCAATGCTGCCATTTCAGCGCAATGCAGCTAGATCAACCACAATAACCATCTCTGCCCTCACAGGTACCGGTACCCAATTACTCCTGGGTGGAGAGAGGCAATGAGTGACAAAGTGCCTTGCCCAAGGGCACACGCACCACAAACACAGGCTGGATTCGAACCTGCAACCTGCAGCTTTACTCGCTGACTACGAATCTGATGCTCTTAACCACAAGGCCACGGCACTCCACATGTAAATACGATACACTGAACAACACTTGGTTTAATACACTAAACAAAGTTCTTCTTAAAAAAAAAGTTCAAAATGTAACAGAATTATTCTAAATGTTCTTTTTAAAGCAAAAGTACTGGTTCAATGAACCCCTCTGAAGTTCATAACGTACATGTACAACAGAGTTAACTTTGGCCCTTTTGCAATTCAATATGTTCCAGTAGACACTGACAGGTAGGAGATATTCTCCTGAATAGAGAATGAATACAGGGTTCATACACCCTTGGAAACAAAAATTCCAGGGCTTTTCCAGGATTTCCAGGTCAAAAGTTTGATTTTTCAAGGAATTAATTCAGGTTCTGACAGTGACAACTGGACCACAAGGTAGGCCTACACACAGCTGGTGATCATAAAAAAAAACTTCCCCTAGTCCATTCAACGTTAAGGAAAAAGGTTCAACACAGTCACAATTTTACTTTTACACTGAGCTTTATTAGTTTATATTGACCTGAAATATTTAATTACATATTAAATAAAGTGCATGAATTTAATAGAGAATGGTTTCATCATTATAGCCACAACAGACAGTTCACCATTGAGCTACAAAAAACAAAGGTAAAATTTGACTACAAGAGAGTTTAGTAATGATATCCTTGGTGCCCCATGCATGCAACATAGAAAGAATCACATTGTGGGCACCATCCATTTTGCTCATAGCGCTGTGTTCAGCGTGGGTGTGTTTTCGAGTGTGTAGACCATGCATGGTGAATAATGCAAAACTGTATTGTGCCGCACAATAGCGACAATGTACGCAGGGACAGATCGATCGCAGTTTATTAGATCATTTTTGTCTCACTTTCAAAGTATCGGTAATGATGTTACTGTAATTTCCAGGAATTTCCAGGACTACTTTTAAAAATAAATTATTTTCCAGAACTTTCCAGGATGGGTATAAAAATTTTCCAGGTTTTCCAGGAGGCGTGTGAACCCTGTGAATACTTCATAGAAAAAAAGATGTGCATGTGCCAACCTGTACCAACAAGTACCAGTACATACAAAACACCTTCACGGGTACAGGTGCCCAACAGATATCCCTCCATCCCACTATGGAAAAATACACATTGCAATTTATACCAGAATGAGTCATAAGGTGCCTTAACAAAACTGGAGGATAACACATATAGCTCAGATGGTGTTCAGTAAATCATAATGTGAACACTGTACCTTTCCGCTCTGCACAAAAATGACCTATCAACACACAACTTGGTCTGCATTTATGTACATGTAATAAAGAAATTGATGTGACCTTACCCACTTATACAATACAAAATTAAACCAACGTTATTGTCATTGTGAGCAACCAATTTCTGGTAGTAATGGTACAACCCGATGGTCAATTCCAGCCCAATCTAGACAACTGAATTTATATTACTGACTGAATGTTCCTCAAGTACGGGTGTTACACAGATGTACATGTACAATGTATGTACATGTACTGTTACCAGTATATGAATACATGTATGTACACGTACAATGGACATGTCTGTACATACATAGACTAGTATGTCCAAGTCTACATGTCGAGACATGCATGTTTGGTCAATAACTGATCTTCACTGAAAATGTACACGTGTAGGGACCCATACCATACACGTACGTGCACAGACAACACTGTACACGTCTACTGTATGCCTATGTTAACTGTTGCTTGTTCAATTGATATTATTCTGGTTGTAGTATTTGGCATTTCATGGAAAGAACTGACTCATCTTCAGATGCTCTCATATGCATCCTCATCAACAATGGTCAAGCAGCATGACGCACACTCTCCACTGTAATATGTGATGCAGGAATGCAAGGGGTGTTATCAGGGGTTATCAGAACACTCCTTGATATCACCCGAGTAGGATACCACACATGCACACACACACAGACTCCTACACCCATGCTGGTCTGTACATGTACAATATCAGGCCTTGAGCTAACTTTTTTTTCCTGGCTAGCCCACTGGACTACTTATGTGGATATTTTACTAGCCTGTTTAGAGTTTTACTAGCCCGTGTATAAAAATTATCGCCCTGTTGTGCGAGCATCACATTTCAAAAAACACAAGTAAAAACACATCCACAACGACTCAGTTTTTGCGATCTTGTATTTATTATCACAAAAAGCATTATATATTTTTATCAAAGTTTTAACAGGTACATTCTGAATTTTCCACAAGCCCACCGGGCAACCAAGGAACCAAGTTAAGGTAGCCCGGAGCATTTTTTGCTAGAATTTGTCCGCCGGGCTAGTACTATTTCGAGGCCTGAATATGTACATGCACATACATGTACATATACACGGGACTCGTGTTCTATGTAGTAGGCAACAAGTACATGTACTGTACATATATACTTGTACAACTGGTACCCGGACACGTACACCAGTCATGTCCTGGCTTACCTCACACTAGAGAGGCAAAGTCGAGAAATTTGGGATCGAGTGATGGGGGGCCTAAAAATTTAATGTGTCCCGACAACAAATTTGTCTCCACAATAGCTCTAACTAGACACATGCAATCCCCACAACTACGCTACATGCATGTACATGTACACGGTACATGGTGCGTGGTACCGTTTACGTGTGGGGTGGCCTTCAGCATGTAAAGGTGACAGTTTCTATCTTTTGTTAGGAAAGTTACATGTACGTGTAGGATCGAGCTGTGGAGAGAAACATTTGTCATAACATTTATTTCAACACATGTAGTTCCCACAACTTGGTAACAGGTACTGTACACGTGTGATACACACTGCACAAACAGATTTACATGTACTTGCCTATTTATTGGCTGACATGCACATGTACATGTACAAAGCGGTATGTGTGCAGTTGTACATGTACAACTACAACGAACATGTATGTATGGTATGTGTCTCAAAATCAAAATGGGAATTTTACTCAAAAGGCACTTGTAGACTTTCTTTTGTGGAGATGGTGATGCAAAGATACAGTATCAAAAATGAAAATTTTGTTACAGCCTAAATAGGGCACACATCTACCGGTACATTTATGTCTTCTTTATGAATGTGTAAGATATATGCAGAGTACATAAATTATTTCTTCCATACAGGTATGTACCGGGCCATGTTTGTTCGAGTGGCAGGCAGACTATACAAGTACCTGTACGGATAAACGGGAAATGAACGAGGAACACACTGGTTGAATTTCAACTGAATTCCAACAGAATGAGGACCACTTACATGTACATCAACAATCAAACATACCGGTACATGTACATCTATTGTTGAATGTTCTTTTCTTCTTTCCATGGAAATTTCTGTTGGTTGAAATTGTTAGTGCATGAACACACCTCTCCAGTACACATGTACATGTAGCAATAGCATATCCTGCTACGTGGACATGTAACGACTGAATGAATTACTTTATTTTCGAACTTTACAAATTGTACTTAAATGGACCGTATTCCAGACGACGCCATTGCTAATCTTGTTCAATGAATCTGTTTCATAAACGGTTAACTGTTGAATGGGATGGTATCAGACTATTGTAGAATTCACGTGGATTCAACGCCTCTCTTTTAATTGTTTCTAAATCTGGCATAAACACTTAAGTATGTTTAGTCATAAATATGAAATTGTTCATCAGAGTAGAAAGGCACTAATTTAACAGGAAATTTTATGTTATTTATTCATTGTTGCTTTCCAGTCTCAAATAAGACTTAACCTCACTTCCAATAGACCGATCCAGTAAGCCCCGTCCGCTGCTCACGTGGGCACTTACAGCACGTGCTCTTTTCCAGTGCCATACTGCGCGTTCCAGCTTCACGCATCATATGCGCTTGCGCAAGCATTACAGACTTTTGTGCGCGTATATCGGACATAAATCACGGCTATGATTGGTCAGAAAACAATGAGGCAGGCTGAACGGATCGGTCTATTTCAATATGGCAGACTCATAAATTGTTAAGTCCATTTGTATATGTCTGTACGTATAAATGGAGTCTTTGGGCTATTGCTGTGTTAACATTGTTCTGTAAATTGACATTTTAAGCATAAGATGAACATGCACATACTGTACAGGTACATACAGGTACAATGTATTGCATTACTCATGATAAAAACCCATGTACTGAGAAAACACTGTTTCGTCTTTCAAGCTGATAATTCTTACTGTACCAATCTCATCCATACTTTATAATGGATACATGTTAATGCCACAAAGTTCAACCTTGCAAATGGAAAGGTCCACAACCATGACAACACTGAACTTCTGCAAAGAATGTTTACATTGGTTACAATTTGCAGCCCTTTGGACGAATACCATGCTTTACAGGTAAGCTTGATGAATTTAAGTTTAATATTTTAATTTTTCTTTATTCCGCACAAGTGTCTGATCCAACTTTTTCCTCACATTATGTTTTTGAATTGTATACAATGTACATAAATGACCACCCTCGGAAAAAATGTAAATTTCGAATTCCATAAGAAAAACGGTAAACTGATATTCCTCAATGCATTAGTCACTGTGCATGTGTACCAGTTTTTGTTGACATGCAAGCAGTCTGCAATGCAAATTCCTAATTACGCTTAAGT